ATTATATAGGAGAGATTTCCTAGTAATATTAGTGTTAAAGTTGTACTTTGTTTTTGTCTTTCATAAAATAGTTCATTTCTGTATAAAGTCAAATTCACTAGTGAGAACATTGAGTTTCAAAATAAGAGCCTTGCCTCACAGTCATCTATGTAGTGGATAGGAGTTCTCTGTTTAGAATCTACTCCTAGAAACAATTTCTCCACTTTGAATCAGAATATGCCTTCTTATACAAATGATTGGAAGACTTGGATATCCAATAGTCTTGAGTTATGCAGAACAGTTATAGGTTCCTGACATATAAGAATGGAAATCTCACTTTGACCTAGAAATTATACTTGAGATGTTTGCCTTTTCTATGCATGCCAGGCAAGTTGGGGGTGCCAAATTTGTGAAGATAGTTCAGCTTCATTATTGATGTGTCAATATTTTTTCAGAGGATTTCATCATACATTTTGTTTCCTTGTAAATTGATTTTTATTTTAAACATTGGGCATAACAAAAGGGGAAATATTGACAAGTTCTTTGTGTAATAGAAAATCCCTGAGGCAAGGAATAGATTATTTCTACATGATCCATAGCTTATCTCAACTACTCTACTTGATTAATGGATGATTGTACAGTTAGAATAGTGACCTAGCAGCAGAGAAAATGTTGGGCGTAGTGGTTCTGAACTAATTATTGTGGCGATAGTCTACTTAATTATCATCATTTTGATAACTTTGTTTAAATTTATACATAGGATAGGTCTCCAGGGACATCCTAGCTAAAAGACCAAACATCCATATCAATATTTAGATGATATACAAACCTAGTTACCAAGATAGCATATTTTGTTATCTACTTTGAGCATTTTTTTTAGAGCCACAAATGATCATTTCATAGTCAAAATGCATAGACTTGAAAACATGTGTATTAGACAACAACAAAAAAAGTTTATTTGTGGTTATTACTGTGAAAGGCTTGGAAGCTCCCTAATTAAGTAAAGGTCAAAGAAGTTCCTTTCAAATTATATTCCAGCCCATTCTATAATTTTTTTTCTGAGCCAGTGCGTTAATCTGAAAAGGGCTCTTTCTGGAAAGGATCTTTTAAATTTGCTTTCCAGAATCTCATGTTACCGACTATTCACTTCTATCTCCAAAAAATGAAGTCTTTTACAGTATATTGTCTTGATTTTTATGTTGTTATGACTGTGCTTCTGAAGCATGTGTTTGAATGGGTGGTAGTTTGCCTGGTTACAGATCACTGTAAGTTAACTAACATCACCTGTTGTTCTTAATGGTTGAACTCAAAGCAATATGTATGGCCACCTTAGCAGGGTTGATCAAATTTAAAGTGATTTTTTTTTTTCCCTCACACTGTCCTTGTGCTGAGTGCACCACAATTTTATTGACAGTTTAACCTCTTAGTGCCCTGGAAAAGATACAGTCTAGTTTTCCAATAGTCTGATGCCAAAGTGACAGTTTGCATTACCAGAACTTTGTTAAAGTTGCTGATATGAATTATATATCATTTCTGAGAAATAATACCAACAATTGATATTTCTCAATTAAAATATGTGTTGAAGGAATCTTATTTTCTACTTAGTATTCAAAGTATTTCCAAGATAGTATAGTAAGAACTTCATATAGAAAGAAACTTAGAGAAAAGGAATCTACTACAATATTATCAGTTTTATCATCTATAAAATGGAGATAAAAGTATGTGCTACAAAGGTTATACATATCCTGGGACATAGTAATGTTCAACAAACTTTAGTTACTGTTATGATGGTGCATTCTATGTAGTCATTGGGTTTGATTAAATTCTCAACCCCAAGACTCCTCCTAAATTAAAATCTCTACTTTTTAAGAAAAATATTTCAGTAATATATTTCTAAGTAAGCATTTGAATAATGCAGTTTTTAGGATGTATTTGCTGATACAGATTCTAACACACAGAGCAAGTTACTGAAAATTAAAATGATTACAAGTATTTTTTCAAGTAAGGTAATAATAAAATAAATTTAGTTTCTTGGTTCTTTAGATTTTTACAGATATTTTTAGCTTAAAATTTGCACTTTATTAGAAACTATTTGTTTATTTATCTACATTTCTGAGAAAATTCAATCTGATAGATTGTACACAATCAAGAAAAGGAGTATTAAATTAGGAAGAGTAGAATGAACAAGACTAGGAAATAAATTTTTAAATTTCAGATATATACTTGCATCAGTGCTTCAGTTGACGAAACTAGGTTCTGTGCTGTGCATTGTTTCTGCCTGAGATATTATTTATATTTAGTGCTACAAAGAGAGAACCAGATGGGGGCGAGGGGTGATCTGAAGTATTTGTAACTAACAGACATATAGTGATGGGCCCATTTTACTCCAGGCTGATGACTTCATTGACTGTTTAAATGAACAAATTCTGTCAACTGTAGTCATCTTGTAAATTAAATGAGTACTACTGTGCTTTGCATGAATTTTTATAATGTGTGGGTTATATTCCAGAGAGATTAAATAATAACTTGGTAATAGGTAACCCTGGAAGAAAGTGTTAATTCACACCGGTCATCTTAAGGATTCTTCTTGCTTCTGGAGGCTGGTAGATGTTTTCTACACCATCTTGACCTCTCAACAGCTAGCTCTTTGTCTACTAAATTCCTTTAGTCTTAGCATGCAGATATCTATAGCTGCCTCTAATTTTACTAGAAAAGGAAGTTTTGGTAAAACATTTAAATGGCTTCTTTTTTTAAACTTTTTTTAATTGAAGGATAATTTCTTTATGGTATTGTATTGGTTTCTACCAAACATCAACATGAATCAGTAAATAGCTTTTTTTAAAACATTTTTTTTATTGTAGCGTAGTTGAATTTACAGTGTTGTGTTAATTTCAGATGTTAAATGTCTTCTTAAAACTTATGCTCCTATTAACCAAAGTAGGCTTATGAAATTCAGTCCTACGGTTCTCTCACACCTGCTTTTTTCCCCCCACTCCTTCTTTACTTTAAAAGAAAAATAATAGCAAAGCAGTTTGTATAATTTTTGAGAGATAATGAAAAAAATAGCCCCAACTCTACCTCTTAACTAACCTCTTAATCTTATCATTCAGCCTTTTGGCTGTCATTACCAGTTCCGTATCTTAAGAATGACTGTGGTTTTGGCATTAGTGGAACAGAAACTTCAGCAACATAACTAAAGAATAAGGGAAAACTGTATGTGGACAGGTGACTAACAACAAATATTTCAAAGGTTTTCAAGGATAGGACAGATGCTTTAAAAGTGCCATTTGGAAATCCCTGGTTGTCCAGTAGTGGTTAGGACTCTGTCTTTCACTGCCAAGAGTGCACAGTCCCTGGTCAGGGAGCTAAGATCCTGCAAGCCTCATGGTGTGGACCAAAAAAAAGTCCTGTTCTTGATAATTTTACATTAGCTCAAGATAGGTTAATTTGGTTATTTTATAAGAGAGCCATATGGTAAAATACCTCCTCTAAAACACTGAATTACCGTATCTTTGAAAGTTGTAATGGATGGTTAATTTTTTTTTCTCAGCAGCTGTTTATATCAAGGACATAGTCAACAGAAGTAGCACAGAAACAGAATGAATACGTTTGGTAGGCCAGCTTTATAACTTGATTCATACTTTTACTTTCAAAAAGCAATTAATATTATAGGAGAGGATGTCACATGAGTTAGAAGTGATGATGTAAGAATTGATACTCCTGAATTTTATCAGCTTGGCTTCTCCTCTCTTGGAGAGAATCCTTTTTCCTTTCTGCTACTATTCTGTATTCTTAAGTCCTGTTAATTTTCCTCTTACAGAATAAAAGCAAGAGCAGAGTTTCTGTCAGATTCTCTTTTAGTAAGTGCTCTAGCGTGTTCAAAAGAAATACAGAAAGATAAAAGTTCTTTATTGCAATAAAAAGTGGGCCCAATAACCAAAAATCTTGAGTAATTTTGATTTCATTGATACTGTTTTCATGACAGAAAGCTTCTTTTTAGTACCATCAGGTGCTCGAAATAGTATCCAGAAAATAATTATGTTACAGATGAGTTTTCTTTCTGCAAGGAACTGGCAGAAATATTACATGTTTGATTATATAGCAGTTTTTATTCTCTATACATTTTAATGTTCTCCAAGCTGTTATTCATCATAAAATGAAAAATTTATAAAGCCCTGTTCAAATTTGTCTTTGAATATCTGAGTACTCCTTTTGTAGAGGAAGGAAGAGGTGACTTGAAAGTGACTTGTATTAATTTCTGAGTTTCTTAAATTTATTTACCATTTTATAAAGATTTTATATGTTGAGATAGACATGTATTATGAGTAAAATCTATGAAATCTTAAGATGGAGTTGCCTCCCCATAATTTAGAAAACAAATTTCTTTCAAGATTAGTCAGGAGGGGAGAATGGAATATACCAAAAGGTATGATCTTATAACAGAGTTTTAGAAAATAACTAGATTTTTCTCCCCACTCCTTCCCAATAGAGTATAGGCTATAATCCCTCCCTAGATTGTAAGTCTATGAGTTTGAAAGAACAGCAAGAATTTGATAGCAGTTAATTGCAACAAAGTTTTTACTAAACAGCTTCTTTTGGAGCCCTTGCATCTTACTTCTCAGAATTTCTGAAGGAGCCAATGATAATTATTCTTAGTGCTTTAGCAACTGAAGAAAATAAGTCCTGAGAATTCCATTAAATAAAAATACCAGTTTATAAAGTATGTCATTTCATGTTAATGTTCTTTGATTCCCTAACAATTAAATATGGTTCTCAAATGTGTGTGATTTTCATCTGAATCAAAGGGAGTCATGTTGCAAAGCTAGGATTTGATTCAATGCCACTTTGAAATATAGAGTATTTCTATAACACTTGCTTTTGAACTTTAAGTGAGAACCATAACAGATGTGAGAAAGAGTTATGACAAGGACAGCCTAATTTAAGTTTTAGAAATTTTAGGAAATGTCATCTTTTTATTGATTTCAGAGACTTTTTTCAAATGTTTTAAACACAATTTTCAGATAACAATAATGAAAAGCTGAGCCCCAAACCAGGGACAGGTGAACCAGTTTTAAGTTTGCACTACAGCACAGAAGGAACAACTACAAGCACAATAAAACTGAACTTTACAGATGAATGGTAAGTTAATATTTTTGTAAAGATGTTCTTAGCCATTTTGTAGGATTTTATTAGATATTATTTTTAACAGTTCATCTTTGTTTTGTAATAATGTATTGGTTCTCAAACTTTAGCGTGCTTCAGGATCACTTGGAGAGCTTCTTAAAACACAGATCACTAGACCCCACAATCAGAATTTGAGGTGGAGTCAGAGAATTTGCATTTCTAAAAACTTCCCAAGTGATACTGATATTGCTGGTCCTGGGATATTTCTCTGATAGAAAATGTAAACGAAGATCAATCATAAATATACTAATAGTGCAAAAATTAATAAGCCTAACATTTTGGAGCTTTTTGCAGGCTTGGTCCTATGTAAAAATGTGTGTTTATGTATATATACATATATATTTTTGCTTTGACATTATTTTAATGATACTGAATATATTTAATTCTTCCCTACATTTATTTGAGTTAACTTTATAGTAAATATTCCCATATTACTCCTTAGTTTTCATAAATATTATTTTGTCAGCTAATAGAATCCACCAAAAGGATGTACCATAGCTTTACTTATCCATTTCCTTTTAGTTAGGCAGTGAAGTTACTTATTTTTACCAAATAAGACTATGAATATCTTTGTTTACAAGCTTTGTTTCTACTTTTAAGATGATTATTTGGGGTATTTTTTTCCAGAAATAAAACTGTATCTAAATTAAAAGATATTGAAAAATTATTTTCAAAAGGATCATCTGTCATTACATTTCTCCCAACAGCATATGAAAGTACATGTTTTGCTGTCTCCAGGCCAGTATTCAATATCAGTATATTCATTTATTTGTAACTTATGTATTTGATTTTTAAATAATTTTTATTTAGATTATTATTAGTGAGTTTGAACTTCAGTGGTTGTATAGAATCTTTTTGATGGCATTTCTGATTATATTTATTGTTCATTAGTCTAATTAAATATGATATTTAAAAAATTAGTTATGTGAACTTACCTAAATTCTTTGCCACTGTCTCATTGCCTTTTGCATGAGAGACAGCATCCAAAATACTGTATTTAAATTTATTGCTGTTATTATATGAATTAATATATAGGCGATACAATCTTTCTTAATATAATTAATTATATATTAATATAATCATATGTGATTAATATATGGTGGTTATGTTAGTCATTTAATAACCAATATATTAATTATTCTAGATAATTGATATATTAAATTATACATTATTATATATTATATGTTAGTATAATATATAATATGTTGTATATAAATGATATATAATATAGTTATATATTGTTTATTAATATATAATTAATTATATGTTGATATATGATATTCTAATTTACAGGTTTCCATTTGTCTTTCTCTGTGTTTTTTTATATTAAAATCTTTGATTAAATAGGATTTTCATATATTATTGTTGAATACCTTCTGTGTTTCAAAGACTGCTCTAGATTTTGGTAATTCACTGATGAAAAAAATAGACAAAAAAAATCCCTGCCCTATTTAAGCTTACTGTCTAGGTATGGGAGGCAGATAATAAACATAATAAATAAATGAATTGTATAGCAAAAGCCTATTAAATGGTACTAAGTGCTATGGAAGAAAATAGAGCAGGTAAAGATTATTGTAAAATCCCCGGAAGGGGTAGGCATCATTGAGAAGATGACATTTGGGCAGTTTCAAGGGTAAGGAGGAGTGCATATCCAGGGGAAGAGCATTCCATGCAGAGAGAAAGCTAGTACAGTGGCACTGAAGTAGGAGCAGTCTCAATGTGTTCAAAGATCTTAAAAGAAAAAAACAACAGTGTAGCTAGAGTGGAGTGACCAAAGGAGAGGGTAGTAATAGATAAGGTCAGCCAGGGAAGTGAGAAGGGTCTTAAAAGGAAAAAGGATGTCTCTGGTTGCTGTGTAGAGAGCAGGCCTTCGATAGAAACTGGATGATCAGTTAAAAGGCTTCGGCAGTAAGCAAGGTGAGAGGTGTTGCTCACTTAGTTGTGTCCGGCTCTTTGTGACCCCATGGGCTGCAGCACGCTAGGCTGAGGTGGCATCTTGGACCAGGATGGGAGCAGTGGAGGTAGTAAGGAGGTTGGATTCTAGATGTGTATTTGAAGGCATGGTCAATAGACTTTCTTTATGATCTCCACTGTTTAACCTCAGCTTTTAAAAATCATGATATCCATGGCTCTTTTTCTTAGTGCATTATTTAAGACCACAAAAGATTATCATAATTTATTCTTAAGTCTTTTCTTATGTTTCTGTACAGAAGGGACTGATTTCTTATGAAGAATCTCATCTGAGCATATTTTAACCAAACATCTTTAGTCCCACTCTTCTTTTGAATGGTGCTTTTTCTTCTTTGAAAACTAACCTGAATTATATTCTCTTATTCACTAGTTTCTTATTTCTTTATAAAAAAAGTAGTTAGCCTTTTTTTCTGGTTATAAAAATATTCTGTATTCATTGTAAAAAAGATTTAAAAAATGCAGTCTTTTTCATCTGTGCTAGTGTGGTGTCTTGCTTTTATTTTAGTTTCTTTGATGACAGGAAGGCAATAGAGCACAGACAGAGAGTTGGGACTCTGAACATGACTAGCTTTTGGACCTCTGTAAATACCAGTTTTTTCATCTGAAAATGGGAATATTTAATACAACCTTCCTCAGGGATTTTGGGAAGATTTAATGAGACCGTGCCGAAAAAGTACATAGCGCTTAGCTCGTTGACTGGCACACGATAAGCTTTAAATAATTGATAGCTACAATTGTCATCTTTTATAAATTGCCTTTCAAATCCTTTGCCCAGTTTTTTACTGTGGTGTTTATGTTTTTCTTACTGACTTATAAGAGCTATATAGAATTAAGTGAGGATAATATCATTTGTCTTTCATTTGTTGCAGATATTTTTCCCAGTTTATTGTTTGTCTTTAAGTTTGCTTATGGTAGTTTCACTTTATGGTTTCAGCCTGTGAGCTAATTAATGCTCCTTGTTGTTCTCAGAATTAGGGGAAGATTTCTTCTTTATTTCCTTTTATAGTTCTGTGCTTTTATATGAAAAATATGTATAATCTTTTTATAGTTTATTTTACCATAAAGTATGATATAGGGCTTATAGCTCAATTTTTCCACATGTCTTTTCCTTTATCCCAGTACCTTTTATTGAACAATCTAGTTAGTCATTTATCTATGATTTTAAAATACCATATTCACACATGCTAAATGTATTTACTTGATTACTTGTTTTTCCACTAATGGCTCTGTATTCCTACATCAGTGCCCTGTCATAACTGTTCTACACTGGGCATTCTATTTAACCCTGCATCATAGCTTTCTCAATGGGGGAAAAAAAAAGATTTATATATCACATTGGCTTATCTTTATCAGAATTGCTGTACATTACTTTTTGGTTAAAAAGAAATACATGTTCATTGCAAAAGAAATAAGAATCTAAAGAAAAGTTAAAAAAAAATTACAGTAACCCAACTGAGATGACAGTTAACATTGGTGTCATCTTTCTGATATTTTTCTGATAAATATCCTTTCTGATATTTTCCTCTGTGTATATACCCATGTAGATATGCATTTTTCTTAAAAATACATTATATATGGATGCTATTTTTAAAAAATTAAATTGACTTCCATAATTAGCCAAAAAAAGCTTTTTGAAAATTTTGACAAACATTCCATGATAATTTGCATTGTTTATTGAGTCACTGCTATTCGTCTACGAATAATGTTTTTTAAGTTGTTGTAGCCATTCAGTTTATTCTTGTTCACATCTTTACTAAATTTAAGAAATTGTTCCATTTTTCTGAATTTAATTTTAACCTTAATAAAGATTGTTATACATTTTCTTCTGTTTTCTTTCCCACTCAATCCCCTTCTTATACATATGTCATGATTTGTCACAGAATGTTCATTGAAAATTATCTATTTAACTTGGTATGGTATTCTGCTCTAGCCAAAAATTCTAACAGGATTATGGTTATCATCAGGTAGGTATTAAAACTAAAATAGAAAACATCATTCTCTCCTTCTACAAAACTATGGTGTCGATCACTTGCCATATTTGAACAGCAATCTAGAACTGGCAGTGATCTACAAAGGGCAATTCAAAGACCAAAGGAACTTCTAGGCCTCTTTTCAAGTATCAATTTAAAAGTAGCCTAGTACAACAAAGTCTAAAAGGGTATATGATCAAAGTTTGTAAAATCAGTAAGAATTTTAATATGGTGAAACATCTGTAGTGAGGACAAGAAGAGAGATTATGTAATTAAGTTAAAATTCAATAGAGACTTGTATATATATACCAGATCGTAGGAGCATCAGTCAGTGAAGAATTTATATTTTTTAATCTCTTTTTTTTAATCTCTTTTTAATATTAAAAGTGGATTAGAATAATCACCTTGATTTTTTTTAAGTGATGTTTCGCAAGTACTGCTAATATAAATCTTGTGTTTTATTTGTATCCTGAATTTTTTTGATCAACTTCTCTAGTTGTAAAATATTATAGTCTGAGTTTTTTGATCAGCTTCTCTAGTTGTAAATTACAAAAATTATCCTAAAAGTTGACATTTATTAACTTCTTGGTGAAATAGCTTGTCTTGATTGTAGGAGCAGTACTGCCTCAAGTTCCAGAGGAAATGGGAGCCACTGCAAATCTGAGGATCAGGAGGAATCTTTGGCCCCACAGAGCCCAGTGCAACCATCAGAAGGAGAGAATGAAGCAAGTAAGGTGATATTTTGCTTTTGTCCTGACAAAACCCGATGTTGGATGTTTGTTTACCTATTTTTCTGATACATCAGTGCTACAGTTTTGTTTTTTCACTTTTGCCTCAGTAGTCCACTTACTGCTGTTGATGAATTATCAATAGCAAATGCCAAAGATAGGGACCTTAAGCATTTAAGATGAGGCATCACAGGGAAGCATAGTTCCCCTCTGTGGGCACAGTGGCCAGGATAGATGGTCATCATACGGACAATATATTAGATATAAATGTTGGTTTGAGTTATCTTTACCATTTTTATACCTAGCAGTGAAAGCCAGAGTATCTATCTTGATTTTTTCAAAGTATATAGGTTGTTTATGGAGGAAAAGAAAAAAGAATAAAATCTAAACAGGTTATGAATGAATCCTGTTTCATGTAAGAAGAGCCATTTGGAGAATGTTTTTAGAACCCCTTCCTGGAATATTTTTATGTGATCATCATATAAAGTTTAAGGGTCAGTACAGCCTTAGAACACAGTAGATTTTCGTACATATTTGATAAATGAATTCATGAATTGTTTTCATTAAATGAATACATACTTCAGCGTAGCAGAGCTTGCAAGAATAAAATACGTATAAGGTGACTGTCTAGCAAGCAAATGTCCAATTAGGAACAAAAAACCTAATCCTTCATAGGTCTTTAGAGTTAAACCCCAGAAATAAATATTTCTAGTAGCCAAATAGAATTTATGGTGGCGCTAACTTTACTCTCTGCTCGTGATAGTTCAAATTAGACCAAGTATATGACAAAAGGAAGAAAAATACTCAGTTTTTAAGTTTATATTCCTTGACATTTAGGGGGAAAATAAAATCAAAATTGAGGAATGTCAGTTGGGAGGAATAATCTCAAGCAGGATTTTTCACATAGAGTTCATGAAGGTCCATGCATAGACTTTGGGAAGAGGCAGAGGGCAGAACTGATAAACAAATAGCAAATACCCACATCTGTTCCTGATAGTATTTTACAGTTTTGTGGGTACAAAGATAGTGTTTGTATTATACTCTGGGGGAGTTTTTATCTGAGTGTCAGAAATATATATGACCCTAAAAGGGTTAAGAGCTGCTTGTGTATAGGAAACCTAGAATATTAATTAAATTGGTGTTTATTTTTCTAAAAAAAAAAAAAGTTAGGATTTAATGATAATTTGGTTTAATTCCCAGAAGCTCCTGAAGAATCATCAGAGGATGTGACACTTCAGGAAGGTACATCTCCAGAAAGCACAGTTCAAAACTATATAGATACAGGTGAGTTGTTTTGTTCTCCTTAGAGAATTCCTTTATATAGGAAAACAAGAAGACTTAATCTGTGTTAGTCTGTCCAGAGTTAGAGACCATTTCCAAATAGATGTATTGTGGAATTTTGTTCTTCATGTAGGGGAATTAGATTTATATTAGAAAATGTCTGAAGTTAGATTAAATAGTGTTGCTGACATGACCAGTTATTACTACTTTATTTTCTGACAGCACAATCAGATAAGTTTACTTCTGAGTCATTGGATTCTGGCCCAGGAGAAAGAAATGACTTCAATCTTGATAGCCCTTGTGGGGTTGCAGAAGAATCCACTTTGTCTGAAAAAGGCAAAGAACCAGGAACTTCAGATCAAACTAGCACAAGTGCTTCCAGACATAGTACCAGCGACCCTGAGCCTCAGTCACAAACAGAAGCCACTGGGCCTCCGGCCCGTGAGGAGACGTTGACCAGGGACTCTGCTCTCCAGGACACAGATGATAGTGACGACGACCCAGTCCTGATCCCAGGTGCAAGGTATCGAGCAGGACCTGGTGACAGGTTGGTAAATTTTTAATTAACATGAGCTACAAAAATATAATTCACAAGGCTTTATTTCTTTGCTTGAAGTCATGGAAAAGAGTCTTTCCATTTTTGACAGTTACTTCCTCTAAGTGTGTGTCTCAGTCATAAACTCATAGAATTTTGTAAACTATAAGTAATTTCACATATTACGTATTGCATTCTTTGAGCAAAAGAATATAAAGAAGATACAAAGAATTGCTGTTTATCTTCAGCACAAAGGCTTCATCTTCAGTTTACAGATTCAGAGGAAGGAATATTGAGAATGACCAGCAGGTTATTTACTGAGTTAGGGTTATCTTTAGTTGTCACATTGCCTCATAGAGATCTTGACCTTTATCAATTTGGGGTTTTTTTTTAGCATTTAGTTTTTCTACTTTTCTCTTAACCCTGGATTAAGGTAGTGTGACAAGGTTCTCTTTTTGAGAACATTGTGTTTTTCTCTGACTTCTACTAAGTAGCTCAGTTTCAGAAATGAAAAGTCATACCAAGTAACAAATATTTTAACTGCAGTAAAGAATTAAATTGCTTATGTGTTCATAACTTTTTCCATTTTTGATTTTATGTATTCATAAGGATATATTTTATTTTTTTAGTAGGTAAAGTAAATCTTCAAAGTATATTGCATTTCATACATTCCTAAAACTATTTCTATAATTAGTGCCATCATATCTCATTGTAAGTTCTGTCCTAGTCCAGAGAATCAAATTTTACCTTTAAAATCGTAGTTTTCACAGGCATGAAATTGTATCACATGTATTTATGCTCAATGTACTGCTGTTTATAAAATGTTCTGACATTTCTGTCAAGTGAAAAATAAAAATACAATGAAAATATTAATTTACCATTAAAGAATGGCAATGTTATACAATGATCAAGAGCATAATGACTTGAATTCTGGTTTTATCATTTACTAGCTGTTTCCTCATTCAAATTACTTAGTATCTCTTAAAGGTTTGGTTTCCTTATCTATAAAATGAGATTATAATTGTTTAGAATTGTTGTCAGAACTTAGAAAAAAATCAGTCAAAAGACTTGTCTCACTTTGAAGGCACTAAATAAATGATAGGTGTATTAAACAGCCAAGACATTCCATGTGCTACTTAAACTTTAAAAAGCAATTACTTATAATAAGAATGGCTCTAGAGAAGACAAGCAAAATTCCTGAATATAGTAACTTGAAGTTCAGTTTAGCTGCCTTTTCTTAACTATGAAAAGATGGATAGGTATCTGCCTTTAGTCATATTTGGTCAAAGTGTTTACTTTGTAGTGACTTTTAAACAAACATTTTGTCTTCACCTGACACACATTAGTCTTCAAATTCTTAGTATATATTTTAGACAAGTAAAACTTAGTTTCATTTCTTTTCATACTCAGAGGGAGTCCCATAGAGCATTATTACCACTTGATGTATGCAAATAAGGTTGGCAAGGATGGCACAATTTATAAATCAAACTGATGTTTTCTAAAACCTAGGATGGAGAACCAGAGACTATAACTATTTTATGCTTGTACATTTTTGGCTTTCAAATTATATAAGCAAACATATGTCCTTCATTTTTTATCTATACTTACAAAGCTTAAATGATACTAAGGTAGTAATTGAAAATGAAATTTAAGTATCCACTTCTAGTAAAATGTACCATGTCACTTACCAGGTCTGATTGCTTAAATAGGAATTATATATTTTTGGTAAATATTAGACACTTGAAAAAATGATTATTTAACATCTTATATTCAGGCTAATTATGTAACACTTTTACTTGGCCTGCATTATAGGTGAGGAAACTGAGGTGCTAAGCAGAGATTTTGTATATTCTAGACCTAAGGAAAAAAAATTTTTTTAACACGGTAGTATAACATGAATGAGAAAAGAGAATTTGTGGGGAGAATGGGTTCTAGAGAATACAGAACATCTTGCAGCATATTGTCCTTATTTTGGATATCTTACTAGAAGCTATATTATCTTTCTATTGAACATTATCATTTACTTATCATTTTTGTAATACTTACATGATTTATATATTTTAGGGATTCTCCTGAGGCTTAGACATGCCACAGAATTGGCAGCTGATAGCTTCATTGACCCAAGAAACCCATTTGCTGAACTGGACTAGCAGAATCTTTTAGAGGAGAGATGATCAGGTTCAACAGCCTGAAAGTGACCCCACTTCTCGCATGTGCTCTTGAATCTGTGCTCTCATGGTTAGATCCAGATTTGAAACCACCTCTTGATCTGTATTTGCTTCCCTGCTTTTTTTAAACTATTATTTAATATTCTGTATAGCCAGTTTAGGTATTTAGCCTTTTTTGTCCTATATATTATTTAGTTATTTGTCCTATATATTATTCTATAGGACATAGCAGTAAACTTATTAAAGAGTAATAAAAAGATAATAAAATTCTTCTTCAAAATTAATAAAATTAATTTTGAGAAAATTAATTTATTGAAGAGGACAAGTACACAAGCCATTTATAAATAGAAAACAGTTTTAATAAATATATGAAATTAGGTACAATATTATATATATATCAGTGTGTACACGTCCATACACCAAGTTGTACATACTGAGATAATGCTGAGGTGATTAGAGTGGCTGTTTCATAATTACCTCCGTTTTCCTTTGAAATATGCATTATTCTTCCCTAGCTATTTACCAAAAAAAATTTGCAAATGGTGTAAGATCTTCCTTCTGACTTTTCTGTAAATAATTTTGATAATTCCTAACTTCCTGAGTACCAAATTGATTAAATTTTGCACTACCTATATAAAGTATACTTTTTATTTCTGTACCTTTCTAAGGCTCTTCATCCCTGGCCATTTATCTTACTTCCAAAATTTGGAGGAATGAGTATGTTGACTTTTTTGTTCTAAAGATAGAAAGTTTAAGAAATTTTACTTCTTAAGAACATGAAAAAAAATCATTCACCAGCTTAAGAATAAGCATATGATTTTTGTTTTTGTGAATTTCTATTTCCAAAGGAATAAAGAATTCCAAAGCTCTGCCATAAAAATCATACCATTTGGTTCTTAGAGTCTAAGTAAACATCTCACTTGGATGAAATGCCAAACTAAAAGGATACATGTCCCCTCTTGCTCCCATTTGAGAAACCTAGTCAAGATTAGTTTAGTAAGGCCAGAGAGATGGTTCCCAAATTAAAAATGGTTAAAGAGTATATACTTAGATTTGTACTTTAATTTGATGAAGAATTATATAGTGGATCTCATAAATTTTTTGCCACACAATTAATTTTTAAATGAAACCTAAAAAGTTTGTAGCTAAGCCATTTTGACACATTTAATGAAAATATCAAAACAGTTCTTTGCAATACAGAGTTATAATTTTTTAAAATAAAGATTTGCATTCTTATAATTTGGTTAAATAAATATGACCCACGTTTTCACTTCTGAGCTGAGATCAAGCATGAGAAGGAAATGTCTTAGAAAATAAAATGTTAGCCTTAATGACTAACATAAGTATTTTTAAATCCCTTCTTATTAAATATAGCTAGTCTCAGTCTAAATATAACTGGGACTTTCTATAGCAGAGGTCAGCAGACTTTTTCCTAAAAAGCCAAAGAGGAAATATTTTAGGCTTTACTGGCCAGGAGGCAAAATGGAGGCTATTATGTAAGCACTTACATAACCACATAAGATGTAACCATTTATAAAAACCACTGGTCTCTAGTCGTTCATTACAAAAATAGGCAGCTGGTCAGATTTGGCCCAAGAGCGGTAGTTTACTTATCCCTGCTTTATAGCAGATCAGTCTTACAGAGAGAAACCAAGCTATAGTATATGGTAAAATTCCTCTGTTGACAGGTTACCAAAGTTCAAAACAAATGTGAATCACCATGTTAGATCTCCTTTAACTTTGTTTATAGCAGGAACTCAGAACATTAAATGGAAACTAAAGTGAAGAAAGAAATAATCAAACATATCTACTTTCTAATATGGTTTAAAAAATAAATAAAAGTAGTATGTACATCTCTTAGGAATTTTATGTATTAGATTTAGAGACATAAACAGGTGCCCTTGGAATGAAAGAAAAGTGGTTTTTTGTTTAGAGGTTTATTGTTTAGATGGTCTTCATGTAAACTGTTTTCAGCACACCAAATCCAACTTCTAGTAAATGGTAGGATGGCCTGACAGTTTATCCTCTTGACAAACCCAACAGGTTTTTACTCTATAAAAAGAGACAAGCATCTAAGTAAGCTTTCTGAAAAAGTTTTCAAATAGTCTTGAATAGTTTTTATAGACTCAGTTAAGATGCTCTAAAAATCTTTTCTGTGAAGATTAAAGATACCACTTTTAAAAAATATGTTTCTTATTTGCATAGAAATTCAGTTCTATTTACCTACTCTGGACTTTGGGACATGGCCTTCATTTTTAAAGCCAAAATTCTTTGCATACTGTAAATTTGTTGTCATCTATTGAATCATCATTATAATCATTTTTCAGTATTTCTAGTGATTCAAGTCTATTCTTTTTAAAATTGCAGAGAAAAAAATAAGCATAGAGAAAGAACTGAACTCCGAGGGAGTTAAAAGCTCTGTTATTCTTTACTTGCTTGTTATCCAGTCTTATGGTTAGGACAAATGAATCAGCTCAGGGCTTAATCATTTAGTTCCTAAAGAGCAGTTCAGCCCTGGGGAGCTAATGTAGGTGTTCCAGTGGATGGTATATGACTCTGTGCAAGTTCCCTGTATTCTGTAACAAGGTTAGGTTCTAATCTTTTTAGAAGATAAAAGGGATTAAGTACAATGTTTTCCTTCTAATCTATCTTCAGTGAACTATTTGTGTCTTTAATTTTCTCATATACATTTAGTCGAATGACATATTCTCACATAATACCCTGAGTCACAAAGGGTAACAAAAGTATTTTAGATTTATATGATTAAAGATAAAAGTGGTGGCCTTCATGCTTTAAATATTTGGTTCTTTGAAGTGAAGTCTTTGTGAGTGACTTTAGTTATTG